TTCTCCCGGCCCCCCCCAGCCGGCGGGCAGCAGGGGCAGCTGCTCTGTGCTCAAACCCGTGGGCCAGACACTTCCCTGGTGGAAACGGCTCTGACACCCTGTGAGTCCCCGGGGACGTGCACTCGGCTCGGACCACTGCTGAGCTTGGCAGTGCTGGGCGGTGCTTGTGGTAAGACCTGGATGGGCAGCCCAGGGCAGACCTATACCCATTTGCCCCCAGCCCTCCCTAGGGAGCCTGTCCATCACCTCATGCACCCTGGTGGGAGCAGCCACGAGAGTGGCCACAAGGTCACTAGTAGCTCACCAGCTCCGAGTCCGCCTGCTCTGGGGAGCTGCGCTGGGTAGGAGGCTTCCAGCATCACTGTCCGCATCACCAGCCCACCCTGTTCTGCGGGCATCCCTCCCACCTGCCTAAAACCTCTCCTCCTCCCAAAATAGGGTGGCCGCATCCAAAGGTGCCGCTGGCATGGGCCCAGGTGCCCACTGCCCTCCAGCTGTGCCTGGCTGAGCAACTGGCACCTGCCAGCCATGGGTTGTGGTGACTGTATTTTTCACTAAAACTCTATCTGCTATCACAGGGGCACAGGCACTGTCCCCTTCCCAGCCCAGCAGCTCCAAGGCTGCTTTTCCAGCCACAAGCTGAGCTACAAAACTCAAAGCCACCCTCTCCACCATTCCCCATGCTCCAGCTGCACCTCCAGAGCAAGCGGCTGTTCAGTCACCCTCTGAAGACCTTTTCATTCTTCTCAACCACCATCACTAAAAACTCCAGATATCCTTCTGGACCTTGCCTGTCCTGCCTGAGAGGTTGTCCTCTCTCACATGGCCAGTTCCTGGAGCCTTCGGGGGCAAACCTAGAGCTCTGAGTCTCCCCCCGTGACCTCTTTTCCCAATCTGTGGTCCTCAGCTTTCCTACCTAGTGCTGAGCATCCAGGCATGGGGCCATTTACAAAACCTCTCTTGTCCTTCAGCATCTGTATCTCCCTGCAGGCTCCCAACCCGTGGCTGCAATTCTTGCCTTGCTTCTTGCAATCACAGCCTGGGTCTCAAAGCAGATCTACCAGCAGGATCTACTGTCCCCTCCCTCACCAAGTCCCCATACCGACTTGGGGTTTTGCATCAGCAAAGCATAACCTTGCTCTCAGGATGAGGCACTACTCAGCTGTGCCATGAAACGGGTTTTCTTCCAACACTCAAGCCACTCTCATGCTGTTAAATATGGACCATCAGCCTCAATAGGCTGGGAGTGCCCCATTCGTGGCACCCGTCTGTCACCACTCAAAGCCCCAGCTGGCTTGGAGAATCTGCAGCTTAAAGAGAGAAAACCAAGAGCCCAATCCTCAAGCAAATGGAAAACAGAGCAAAGGGACATGTCCATGTCTGAGGCAACTGAGGTGATGCTAATTTTCTTGCCAATGAGCTAATATCTCAGGGTGGGGGTTTTTTGTGTACTTTCTAAAGTGACATTTCAATTTGGCTTGAAGAAACACTGAGATAATATTTTTTACATTAGATACGTTTTCAACCCGACAACTGGCCCACACTGAAGGAATAAAGATCAAATTTGGTATTGTGTGAGTATCCTCAGCATGAAATGAGTCATCCCCGAGCGCACCCAGTGCTAGCTCATCCCTCTCCCTGCCGCCTGCCTAGCACAACCACTGCTGCCCCCACGTCGCCGGGAGCACAGGTCCCCCTGCTACCTCGGAGGTGTTCGCTAGAGAACCCAGGTCCCCAGTGCCTGTGTGAGCAGCAGCTAGGTGCTTCTGGGGGTCTCTGTGAGGAAGGCACGTGATCCAGCTCAGGGCTCACCCCGGGACAGAGGCTATTCCTCAACCACCTCCCACCCCAGCTCAGCACAAGGACCGGGTTCTGCTCCCAGCCCTGGGAAGCAGCTGCAGGACCACAGTCCTGCCCGGGGCCACTGGACCACAGACACTCCTTCTCCGGGACCAGATACTTCTCCAGGGCCCAAACATTCCTTCTCGGGGCCAACTGCTCCTTTCCTGGAGCTGGATCCTCGTCTCGCCCCAATATTCCTCCTCTGGCCGACTGCCTGGAGCTCAGCAGGAGAGACCGCAGCACCTTCCCTGGCTGCAATGCAGCATGTCACTGCAGGAGCCCCAACGTTCTCTCCACCTTGCCACCACAAACCGGGCTCACCCGACACCATGTTCTCTCCATGGCTGTCAGCAACCAGGAGCAAATCTTCTCTCCTGGATGTGGGGCAGCAGTAAGGCACTAGCTCAGCAAAGCCTGCCCTGGAGGGCTGACCTCCAGCTCCTGGCTGCCAGCAGGGATGTATCTGCATGGTGGGACCCTCCCCGCACTGTATCTGCACAGAGAGACATCCCTGGGGACAGGCTGGGCCAGGGGGCCATTGGTTTCAGCTGGGGGTGCTCAGCTAAGCTCCTGGGTTTGATCAGGTCCTGCCTGACACATTTCTAGGTGAGATACCTGCTGTAGGAAACTCAAAACCTCCAACCACAATCCAAGTGCCACTTGATCCCCACGGGAGGCTGGTTTGCATCCTGTACCATGAAGGGATAGGGCAGGGAGCCTGGTCTGAGTCTATGAGGTACACGTGCATGGGGCAGAACAGCACTCTGCCCTCGATTGCTGATGTCCCGTACACATGGCTAGATGCCTGATGCCTCCGTCAAGCGAGCCCAGCCTGCCTAATATTGCTGCTAAGAATGTACCAGACCGGATCTTTGGCTGAGCTAAATAAACGCAGCTCCCTCCATCGGTCTCAGCGGAGCGACTTTGATTTATGACTGCTAAGATCTGGGCTGGTTCATTCCTCGCAGAATTGAAGTTAGGGCTGGGAGGACACTTGAAGGTCAGCCAGGCCAGCCTCCAACCAGAGGCGGGGCTGGTCCTGCTTTCTGGCAGCTCTGGAGTCCAACCTGGTCCTCAAGTCACCCAGCCACAGCGGCACCTGCCAGCGTTACTGCTGCCAGACCCAGGTAGGGCCGAACTTTGGGCAGCTGTGCCCCTCCTCAGTCCTGCTCCTCTGCAGACTTCCAGAGCCTCCCCTGCAGCACCATCCCTCTCCGGAGATGCCTGCCTGTCCTCCATCACCCCACCCCACCAGCCCCTCTTGTGGGGGGCACAACCGCTCCTGCAGAGGACAGGGGCTGACTCTGCAATCCCACCAAACAACTTCTGGAGCCAGCTGAGAGCCTTAAAATCCAGTTACTCACCTGCTGGGCGGAGGGTTGTCTTCTCCTTCAGAGACACAGATGCCATAGGGTCAGCACAGGGAAACCTGGGTCTCTCAGACCCTTGGGCAAAGCCCAGCCTAGGGGCTCTGGGTCAGACCCAGGGGCTGGAATTAACACCTGACGTGAGGGGCTGCATCCCACGGGGACGTGCTGCTGCCCGTGCCTCTGTGGGCAGCCCTGCCAGCCCTGGGACCCTGCCTGCTGCCCCTGTCCTCCATGCCATGGAGCGTCCACCCCAGCCCCCAGCATTGCCACCCCATCCTGTGCCCCAGCTCCTGCTGGGGCAGGAGCCCTTCATGGCTCGACATGGAAATGCTTGGGGGAAAAATCCCCCCCAGGCTTGTGCCCCATTTCTTGCCATGCCAATGCTTGTGGGGAGACCTCTTCATCCTGCTCCCCAGCCTTGTCCCCTTCCTGTGCTTCCATCCCATACCATCCCTCCCTTCCCCTGTCAGCATCCTTTCCTTGTTGCCCTCCTTCCTCTGCTCAGCGCTCTCCCCCCACCCTCCCGCATCACACCCCGAATCCACCCCACAGGGCCCCAATCTGGGCACAGCCCTCAGGGCATCGTCTCACCAGTTTGCCCAGTGCCAACTGGGAGCCCAGGCCAGCTGACAGACCTGCGCTGGCCTCGGGAAGGGGGGGGGGGGGGCCACCGGCTCACCGACTGCTGCAGTAACAAAAGGGACCTTATAAAGAAACACAGCAGAGCTTATTGGCAGGGCCCCGGCGCTCCAGC